TGCCCGCACAGGCAGGGCGGGCTCGACGCACCGGCAGCTTCACACCTCGGTTTGGGGCCACCAGCCCCGGTCCCCTCTCTGCCCCTAATGCCTCCCATCCCCAGAGCCCCGCGCTGTGGGAACGTACCGAGGGGCCCGGCATCCTCAGCCACGGTGCCAGCAAGCATCGCGCCACAGCACCCACCCCAGCAGTGCCCAGCACCTTCCACGGTGATGCCCAGCACCCTCCAGGGCAATGCCATCCCTCCATGGTGAGCAGGGTGCCCACCACCCCAGGGTACCAGCCCTCCCCAGCTCTGGGGCCAAGACCTACTCACGCTGGTTACGGGCAGGCGTGCAGGCAGGCTGCAGGCAGATGAACTGTGTTTAGGGCTCTTGCAGGGCTGAGAGGAAGCAGCTCCAGGGCCTGCCTCTTAAAGGGAAACACACGCCTTTCCCAACCCCCTGATCGCAGCCGGGAGCAGGGGTGGGTGCCCCCGGCCCCCTGCCTACCCACCATGCCCAGGCAATAGACTCACCGTGCATCCCCACGCTGCCTGCACACTGCCCACACGCCTTGTCTGCCATGTGCCAGCTGCCAGCACTGCCCTCAGCTCTGAGGGGAGAGCAGTGGGGAGTGGGGTGCCCCGTCAGGGCTGGTAGGACCTTGTGATGCCTCGTGCAAAGCCCTGGTGAGGCCACAGGGCTGGGGCAGAAGAGTCAGTCCTTGTCCCATGTCCCACGAGGGAAACTGCCTGCAGTCCCCAGGAAATGGTGGTGTCAAGCATGCACTCGGCAGGAGCACCACGGCTACAAGCAGCTCGGGATGGGTGGGCTGTGGTAAGGGGTGGGCTGTGCCTGGGAGGTGCAGGTAGAACGTGCCTGCTCTGGAGTCCAGTGAAGGCAGCTGAACTGCGGGGTTCAGCTTCTTCAGGCCCTGCCTGGGGCTGTGGGGGCAAAGCAGAGGCACAGAAACCAGTGCAAAAGGTTTGGGCTGCCTGGTTGCACCCATCTGAGGGGGCAGCATCCCCAGACTGGAGCGATACCCTCTGCACCAGCCCCTGCTGGCACACGGGCCTGGGGCTGTGGGGGCAAAGCAGAGGCACAGAAACCAGTGCAAAAGGTTTGGGCTGCCTGGTTGCACCCATCTGAGGGGGCAGCATCCCCAGACTGGAGCGATACCCTCTGCACCAGCCCCTGCTGGCACACGGACACACAGCCCCACTCGGAGAGCCCCAGGTCCAGCCCTTGGGCAGGGCAGAGTGACGGGGGCACAGCCAGGGATCCCAGACCTGGAATGGCCAAAGGGGCTGAGCACAGGGAGGAACCATGGCACGGCGTGTGCCCTGACCCAGCGACCCACCGCTTTGCCCCCTCTTTGTTGTTTTATGGCAAGGAAATGAGGCACGGGGGCCCCGGTCCAGCTCCTGCCGCCGCACGGGATGGCGTCAAGCCGGAAAGAAAACAACTCGTGCAAAAATAAACCACCCCAGGGCTGTCTGTGGGGTGAAGGGGGCCGGGACCCCTTCCCGACAGCCCCCCCAGGGCAGCGTGCTCGGGGTGTGATCTGGTCTGCCCGCCGCCAACAGGCTGATAGGGAACAGCCTGCACGGAAACAGCGTT